AAGCCACAAAAGTGACATACAAAAAAAAAATTGTTTTTATTTCTCATGTGCACAAAAAAGAAAAAAGAGGAGAGTCAACAGAACTGAAGCAATGAGGAGAAGCCAGGAGTGGCTGCAGCAGCCCAGAATGGGTATGACCCTGCGCCTAGCAATGGCCCCCTTCCCCATCTCAGGGCTAGCTCAGCCCAGTGAGCATTGGCAGAGCTGCTTATGTTAGATTTGTTTTCAGTTCTGGTACTGTTGTTATCTGGTTCCTTTTCCTGGCTTGCAAGTTTGCCGCCATCCTGGACCCAGCCAAGGAGCACATTGTGGTGTCATTTGAGGGGTCCTTTGGAAGCCCTCATTCAGTCACTCCCAAAGAGGGCAGCTGTGATTCAGATTTATTTTCACCTGGGGCTGCTTTTTCTTAGGGAAAAAAAAAAAGAGTTTTGTTTTGTTTTGTTTTGTTTTCTCCAACAGTTCAGTAAACCAAAATTCCTTTGGGAAAATGTTTATATGCACATATAATTATATATTCAAGAGGAAAAACAAGTGCAGTTTTTAATGTTTTCTGTTTCTGTTCATCATCCTCACATTCATGTTGTGATTAGTCCTGAAGTCTTGTTCTGAATTTGAGTCCTCACTATCGATGGGTCCGAAAGCATGCAGAGTTGGCCCTGGTTGAACGCAGCAGGGCCCATTGCACCGTCCCCCCCAACATTTACAGGTCACAAAGGTGTCTACAGCAATGGATTCACCCAGGCTCTCCTCCCACCCTCTGGCCCCACATCCCTTTGGGCTAAAAGGACATGGGAGCTTCAGAGAACGAGCCTCCATAGTGCTGCCCAATTTAAAATACAGGTCCCCATTCCTTCCAGCAAAGCGTATCATTTGAGAACTTACAAGATTCCTCCCCTTCCAAGAAAAATTGTCACACAACATTTCTGCTGGGTCACAAGCATAGCAACAGAGTTAATAGTGGAAAGAAGAAAAAGAAGAGAAAGCTCAGGAGGAAGAATAAAGAAATGAAGAGTGATTGATGAGGAAAAGGAAGGAGAGGGAAATGCAAAAACATTCATTATTATTCATAATAATACTCTGATAGAAATTTCTTTCCAGGATCTCAAAGCACTGAGGCAGTGCTATTTAATGCAGCTCCACAGTGCTCCAGTGAGCTCGGGTGTATCAGCTATACCCATTTTCAGGAGATTACAACTGAGGCATGGGGAAGAAATCAGACTTCAAAAGGTTCTCCAGAGCCAGGAGAAATGAGGAGTTCTGTCTCTCCCAGGTACTTGCTCTGATATCTGGATTCTCTGGAGATAAAAGTGCGCGGGGAATACACATTTCCATAGTGGGATGGGGGAAGTAGTGGGACCAAATATATGAAAGAGAGGGATAGAAGTAGAATGGAAAGAGGATGTAAGAAAGAAATGTCAGAGATGGAAAAGATAGCAGAATGACAGAGAGATGTGAGTGACAGACTTCGCTGGATTTTGCATAGTGATTTTTTTTTCTCCAATCTTTTTTGTTTTCATTTTTTTCTGTAAAATTCTTTTAAGAAACATGAAAGAAAAATCCATCTGTAATAAAGCAACTGTTGGCTTTTTGGGGAAGGAGTCCTTCCAAGGTTTGGCTGTTCCCTCAGGTTTTGGATTTGTGCTGTGCTTTATTGAATACATCGTTTTGTTTTCAGTGAGCACAACGAGACTCGCACAGTACAGACAGCGTGTTCCTTATCTACAGGATGAGACGAGGCTGTTTTAATAACTACCATGATGAAGATGGAGATGAACTTATATACAAGAGGAATTGCCTTCACATTACACACATTATCTTCCTACAAAGCAGCAATTGTTTTTGCAAATAACATAATATTAAATAATTGGTAGAATTTTTGCGTTTCCTGCATAGTCCAGTCTAATGGAATCTATATGAATATTGATGGTTTTCTTCTGCATAATATCACCACATAAATCCCCGTGTCAGCTACTAGACTTTAGCTATAATACTGCTTTACAATGCATCCACCGACTGTAAATCAAAACAACCAACACAAGAAACTCTTTGGCAAATGTAATTCAGTACATTCGCATGGGGGTCTACAGATGGTGGTGGAAGAGGATTAGACTGCCCAGTCCTTTGCATAATTCTGCTATCCTTTTATTTTTCCTGATTCAACTGCTTGCTATAATCATGAACTTTTCAGACCAATCCAATGCCTGGTGAAAATCCCCCTTTATCGGTGGAGTTACACCAACAACGGACTTGGTCATCCAAGGACCAAATCAAGCCAGCCATGAGTGAGCTGACCATATTCTGCTTTCCCACCCTCTCTTGTATCCCAGGTTTAGCAAAATGCCATTCTAAAAATAAGCATTTCTCATCTACTGCTTTCTCTGGAGTGGCTTCCTGGACTGCAGGTTGCCAAGTGTGAGGTGTGTGAGTCTGCTGCTCTCTCAGCTCTTCAGGAGGTTCTGGGTGCCAGTACCCTGATTTACTGCCTCTGCCCTTGACCGTATGCTGTGTGGAAAGGGGTTGTGCAAAAGGAGGATGAACACTGCTGACAGACTGCACGGGAGACTGCTAACAGGCTTCAGCATCCGCCTGGTGTCTGTGGAGGAAAACAGAAAGGGTGCTAAAAGGAAATTTTTAGAAATTACTCAGAATTTGTTGAGTAAATGGTCAGAATAGAATGAGATAATGGGCCAAATTCTGGTCTCAGAGTGTAAAAACTCCGGTATTCACTGTAGGATGTGCACAAGACATGCACAGTAACGCTTAAAAGATCAGGACTAACCTCTTTGATTTTGTGCTGTATAGGAAGAGATTTTAGCTCTGTATCTTCTGTGTAAGCATACCCTGACCCATACACTTATGATTTGGGTATCTCATTAAGAAGACACAGACCTGTGATCAGCTAGAGCCATGCAAAGGCTAAAAGTGTTTGGTGAAAGGGGCTTTCGGATCAACATAACTGTTTAGTGATGATGGAGTTCATACACACAAGTCGGAGACAGAATACTGAGTCTACAACCACATCTCCTCAGAGGCTGGGAACTTTGGGGTTTATGCATTATGTTGGCTATACACATTGCTCCACTGTTCACTTTTATGCCCTCAGGGGTTTGATTCTCATTCCTGTCTTGGTTCATGGGCAGTAGCCCACTAGTTTTGTGTGATACCCCTCTAAAACAACAAGGATCTGCTTTGGCAGACTTGATGCCCTGAGGATAGGCCATAGCTGCCTTCATGTTTCCTGGGAGTATGTTTTAGGAAGTGCCAGTGCAAGAAGCAGTTTATGAGATTGCTGACAATACAGGAGTAATAAGTATTTCTATTGACAGTTAGCCTTTTGCAGAACAGTGTTTGCCAGCCACTTGAGAACAAAAAGAGCAGATAATCCCTAGAGAATCATCAAGTGAGCATTTGGGCTAAGGGGTAAATATTAGGGTGCACACTGTAGGGTGGAAGATGAAAAGATGATCCTGTATGTGGGAAATAGCTGGTAGGATGCAGACATGTGCGTTTGAATGTAAGCATACAAATTACTAGATGTGGAAGGGGACAGAGTGGGAACAAAAGAGGCCCATGCAGCAAGGCTGTAGTGGTTTGGAAATTAGGTGTTGGACACGGATAATACCAATATGGCCGTCTGGCTTAGGAGTCTGGAGAATGGGTGTAGGACATACCTAAAACTGTAGAAGCGAGGGCGTAGGAACCTAAGGGCTAGGGAACCAAGCAATCACCCCAGGCAGTCCTGAATGTATCCATCTCAGTCTTAGCTGTCCAGGGGGCAGTCAGAAGGGCCCCGGGAAGCCCCATACTTTCCTTTCCACCACAGAGTGCAGCTAGAGCACGGCTGGGCTGGTTTTCTGTTTGCCAACCAGTGACATGGAAAACATTTGCTGTCTCAGAGCACTTTTTTGTCGCCTAGTATGTTTGGAAACTTTGTCAAATGTGACTTGTCCACACTGCTCCCCAGAGAGAGAATTTGGGAAAGAGGGAGGAGGCGATGGGGGCAGAGCTGGCATCCAATCCTCTCCAATACCACCATCCCACTGTAGTGCAAAACAGAAAAGAAACAAAACCCGAGATTGAGAGAGGAGCATCAGTGTCAGAGGGACTTGCCTGCCACTTGGGTGACAGGGAGGAATGGGTTTGGAGTTTTATTTTTGTAGCTTTTTTTAATTATTATTTTGTGGGTTTTTTTGTTGTTTTTGTTTGCTTGGGTTTTTTAGAAAATCGGGGATTTGTTCTTCTTGTTTTTTTTTTTTCTTTTTACAGACCTTCATGACAAAGCATAAAAACACAGTTATATTTATATATCTATTTATATATTTCTTCATTTCATCAGCCGGTTTGTGAATGTAGCTCCGTCCTCCTGCCTGAGCTGATTGTGTGTCACCGAAATTGCGGGCGTTGGTGTGAGTTTGACCCCAACGCTGGCCTGCAGAGTCACCGCGCGCGGTGCCGCCAGCCGCGGGGGAGGCCGAGCGGGAGAGTGGGGACGAGGTGCACAGAGAGCCCCTCAGGCTGCCGGTGGGTGCTCGGGCCTTTCCTCCCTTGCCAGGTGGGTCAGGGCTCTGTGCTGCCTTCTCCACTCTAGCCAGGCTGTTCCTCGGTCCTGGAAACAGGGTGGTCAGCCAAGGTCTTACATTTTGAAGAGTCCACCACAGAAGATGATTTCTTTGGGGAACAGTGTTTTGTGAGTGGCTTTCTCCCCTGCGTCTCCGTGCCCTTACCACTCCCAGGAGAAAGGGGTCCTGTAAGGCAAAGGCTGCGCTGCTTCCCAGTTCCCCTTAAGTCGTGGAAATCGCGGAGACTTTGGAGGGCTGGGCTTTGCCGTGGTGCTGCGAAGGGTCCCTGCAGCGAGCGGCCGGGCCGGGGGCCGCGGCGGTGCGTGGGGAGGAACGGAGGAGTTCTCCTCAGCCGTCGCGGGGATGGAGGGAGCTGATCAGACAGGTACAATATGGAGGCCTAAGCTGTCGCCCTGCAGTTTCATGTGGTTTCCATGGTAACTAGTGGCGGTCATAGGCAGCGGCAGCAGTGGGAGGTGCGGAGCCCCGGGATGTGGCACTATAATAATAAGGGGAACCTGAAAGTTAACACAGGAGAAGAATGGACTGGTTGAAAGGACAAACAGTAAAAAAAATAAATAAATAAAAAAGTAAAACGATCAAACGAAGAAAAGAAACGAAGGACAACTAAAAACAAAGGAAAAGGAAAGGAAGGAAGAAAACAAAATCGGAAGAAGTATCTTGAGAGCTCAGCTCTTGTTGGGAGCCATGAAAGGCTACCTGCTGAGGCCAGCCAAGGACTGACCATATGTAAATGAAGAGAGATTACAGGGTCCCCTGGGTCTGAAGCCCCTCTAGGGCAAGGGGATTTTTTGCTCCATGAGGAAATGGTCTTGAATGGTCCTCCATGGTTCATGAGCATGAGGAAGAAAGAAGCATGTGAGCTTCGCAGCAGAAGAATCTCCTGCCTGCTCTGCAGTCACAGGGAAGCTGCCAAGGGCCGGATGCCCTCGGCATGTCATGAGTCAGTGTTAAAATAACAGGAGGGAGAGATGAAACAAAATTCCATTGTTTCATTGCTTGGGATTTTGGTCACATTTGGAATGAAAGCTGCTGGATGGTTATTGAATGTGTGTTAAATAGTGATTGATTATAAAGGTCATATTTACAGAGGTTTAACAACCCTGGAATAAAGTGTGCATCTATTATCCAGTTGTTAAACCTAAGTAAATATGTAGTTCATAATCACAACTGATTTATTTTACGTATAATAAATCTCCTCCTGTTCCCTTGCAAAGAAATATTGTGTTAGAAGACAGAGTCTTACAGGAATATTTTTTCCCTTCTGAAAAAAAAACAACAAAAAAGACTTTTTCTAGGCATGTTAGTGGAGCTAAATATACTGTAAGAAAGAGCCACCTGCCATTTATAAACATAGTTATGGAGCCTATCTGCCATACTGGACATTGTTCCTACTGGCCCTATGAGAATAACTTCTGTGAGATTTCCAGATTCCCAGGTATTGACCTTCAATTTAGATTGGGAGAGTAGTGACCCCGCTGTGGATTTTTGAACAGACCTTGAATGGATGTGATGGAAGCCTGTGAGAGTAGCAGAACCTGAACTGAACTGCTGATCTAGTCTGGAATAGACTGTGGATACAGCCAAGGAGAAGACAGAGCTACCTTCAGAACAGACACAAAATGCATGTCAGACATACACCTATCTAGACCCTAGACTGGGGAGTGCGGAAAGAGGTCTTTCATGTGGCCAAATGCTTTTCAAAAACAAACAAACAAAAGAAAACAAAGAGACAAACAGAAGGAGCGCGAAGCTGGGAGTGTGCTGGGGAGAGAGGTACTCACTTAGTAATGCCGGGTTGCTGAATCGCCAGGCCTCGTTGTAGGTTGTGTACTGAGGGTGGCTGTACGGATTCCCCGAGAACTCGCTCCCTGGAAGGAAGCAAGCGATGAATGAGACACGGGCAAGAGGGAAGGCCTGCGGCCCTGTCAAGTGCATCTTCACATGGAATCTCTGTGCCACCAGGTAAACTGTTACATACGGCTTCCTTGTCCAGTTGGGATCTTGCCCTTCAGGACAGTGCAGTGTTATTTGCCTAAACAATTAAAAATCGTAAGACTGACCTCTTCAGAATCAAGGAATTACTTAAAAATAATGAAATTCAATAATACAAACTAATTTGTATTACGAGTGACTGTAAGCTTCTGTCTGCTCTGGGTGAGGAGCTGGAGTTCTTGTTTCAACAGAAGTATTTGGAAAGCACCTAGGGTCCCTGCTAGATACCCTGGAATGGGAAAGGCAGGCAGGCAGGATACACTAGTGCCTGTAATACAATTACCAAGAATTGTCAATTAATTATACTGTAATCTCTGCAAATCTCCCCTCACAGGAGAGTCAAAGACACAGATTTTCCAATGAGGAAGTGAAGCCTATTGAAGTCAGTAGATTTGCACTGATTTAAACTTGAGGAGGATCTGTCCAGCTGGGTCTTTTAAAGACATTCAGAATAATAACACAAGTAGTCACTGTGGAAGGGTGTATGTACCAGTAGCAGTCACATCCAATAGTCTTGTAGTCAGAGTAGCTTTTATTTACAGCATAAAAATATTTATTTTTTGTCAGACTAAATACTGCTGGTAATGACTCAACATGTTTTCATATCTAAAATCTGAATTCTTGCACTGAAAATCAGGTAGCTGGGAAAGAGAAGGTGAGACCTGCTAAGGTGATCAAGATGTTGGGGGAGATGATAGAAGAGCACAAAGCAATGCCCTGGTTTAGATCCACCGAAGTGACTTATCTGTGGGATATAAAAATTTAACACTGGCGTAAGGAAAAACCAATGCAGATGCAAATTCCTGCTTTGAATTGCCTCATAAAAAGATCGCTTCTCTGCATCAAGAGAAGTGCTGATATTTCCAGGTTTCTTTCCAACCCTCTCCTGAGCTGTCACCCTAAACTGTTTATAGTGATCCTGAGCCACGGGTTAAGTAGAGGAGAAAGAGCCCCAGCTATGGAGAGCCAGCGAGGAGGAGGGCAGCCACTGGAAACAGTGTTTATTGACGAGGAGGAAAGCATGCGTGCAGCAGGATAATGAGCTTTGGAGCTCAACTGTGACCAAGAGGAACTGAGCTATCGCCTTCCCCGATCACTAATGAAACAAGTGTAATTTCCTCATCAGCATTGGATTCTGTTTAACGACTCCCTGCCGTTGCCATTGCCAGCCCTCCGCAGGCTCCGCGCTGCTCCGTGCGAGCTGCCCTTCCTTTGGAGGAAGCTCGCCTCGCTGAGCAGCTTGCAAAAACTGGATGGCCTTTCTGGGAATGGGGAGGAAGTTAGTGAGGGATCAAAGGTGCTCTGCTGCCTGCGTGGGGAGCATTGCACAAGCGCACAAATGAAGTACAGCACAATACCTGATTCATCCTTCTCTGACTGACTGACTGCTGCTTTTTCAAGAGTGCACACAGGGACTTACTGGCTTCCATCCATGTCTACAGCCTGTGATGTGGAGGTGCAAATGCAGAATATACATCTGAGCACATGATCCGCGTGCGTCTCCGCGATACCTACATGAGTGACCGACCGTGTCGCATGGATGCCGTGCGTGGAGACAAGCTCTTCTCCAGACTGTACAACTGCAAGTCTCGTGAAAGGTTGTCACAAATAGAACAGAGCAGCCTTGGTTAGCGCTGGTCAAACAATCCTCTCAAACAGCTTGCCCCTGGAAAATGCTGCCTCATCAAAATGGAATTGTTTTGCATGAGCCTGTCGGTTTCAATGGAGTTTTTGAAAGAAAAGTTTTGAAAGGATTGCAAATTGATACAAAGTATTATGTTTCAACTTTCTGGTTTTGTTTCATTTTGCCTTTCTCATCTCATTTAATTTCCTTTCAACTCTTTTATTATTGTAATATTTCTTGGCATCCAGGACATGTTGACATTATTGAAATGTTTCATCTTGATGCTTGCAAATTGAACTATTGCAAGATTCTGACTGTTCATCCCAATGCAAGATGAAAACAAATGTCAAAAGAAACCCAGAGTTTTGCATGGGTTTGAAATTCTGTTTTCTGGCCAGTTTTAGTTTTAGGTCAGAGCCTTTATTTAGAGAAGCTGGAGCCTCTTCTTCATTTTCATTCATGTATGGACGATGGGGTTTGTTTGCATGTCTGTATGTTCGTTAAAGGTATTCCCTGATTGATCATCTTGCTTTCTTCTTGTTTTCCTGTTTCTTCTTTAATTAACTGAAAGCACTGGCCCCTGATCTTTCTTGGCACTGGGGCATGTAACAAACCATTAGCAAAATCATATTTTGTTTTCCCTTTTCAACGTGGATTCTTAATGGGGGAGGGGGGCAGCAAGCACTGAGGAGCTTATGAGGCCTATAATCTACACAGTCCGTGCTCTGGGAACCTCTACTTACAGCTTTTCTTGGTATCTGTTTTTAAATATTGACACATTTAGTCTTTTAATACAAAAACTATGTGACATGAAGCGAGTCTAGCAGGGGACCGGATTGTAAGAGATGAAGGGAGGTAGTTTTTACGCAATCTGTAGTTAACCTGAAGAACTCTTTGCCAAGTTGCTAGAGATGTTACAAGCTTGTATGAGCTCAAGAGAGACTTCTCAGGTTTGTGTCGGTTGATCTATCAAGGATGATTAATACTAACTTCCTTCGAAAGTTTCTGAGCTGCAGTCTGGGAGACTTTCGGGGGAAGTACCACTAAGTGGCTTTTCTGCTCTGACATCCTTATGCAGCGGCATTTGCTTTTTGCCCCTGAGAGAGCGCAGTAATGAGAGAGGCGCGATGTGCCCCGGTAAAGCCAGTGCTGGGCTCCTTCCCAGGAAGCCTCACTGTTTCCAGCTTGTTGGCTTCTGTAGCATTGCAGGACTGGGGCAGGAGGCTGCCAAGCGGGGTCTGGCCAGTGGAAAATCACTGAAACAGCCAGGACTTGATGGTTTGCAGAAGGGTGCAGCAAGTACTGCAAGGTGCGCAAACAGGCCACAGGAAAAACTTTCTCTAATTGAATGTTACTGAACCACCCCAATTCAGCAAGCTGGTCAATTATTCCAAGGGACCGAGTGGCAATGATCCACTCTATTTTCCTGATCTGGAGGTTGATCATATCATCTTCACAGCCCTGCCCGGATTTTCTTGCGTATTTTAGAACTAAAGGCAGTGAGTAGCTTGTTCACTCTGGAATGAAGTACATACCAGTACTTGATGAGAAAAAAAAACAATAATTTGTCATTCGAAGATACTAGGATTCTGACCTGCGAACATATTGTACCCATGGTAATTTCGCTGATAAGCTGTGTTCTCTGTAGTGTAACTGATCCAGGATTTGGACAGGAGTTAGGTTGGGGTTTTGACTCATGAGCTGGCACAAACCGCAGCAGGATGGTGCAGGAGCTCTCTGTGCTCAGATCACCTGCAGTTCCAGGTCACAGCTGCTGCCTGGGGCCGTCCCTCCTGCAGCACACGGTGCAGAATCGTAGAATCATTAAGGTTGGGAGAGACCTTTAGAGATCATCTAGTCCAACCACTCTGCACACACGGGGTCATCTGGAGCACGTGGCACAGGGTCACATCCAGGCGGGTTTTGAAAATCTCCAGAGAAGGAGATCCTTAACCTCTTTGGGCAGCCTGTTCCAGTGCTGTCACCCTCATAGGAAAGAGATTTTTCCTTAAGTTCCTGCACAGGACAGTATACCTGCTTCTGAGCCAGCACAGCTCACAGCCCGGGGTGCTAACAGAAATAGAAATCTGTGGCAGATGCAGTTCTGAGTTCTGAGCTATCATGGCTGAAAAATGGAAACCTCGCCTATTCCTCTGTCTCCTGGGACTAGCTTCCAGCAGAGGGACGGGGAATACAGCCTGAGCAAAGAGCCCTTCGCTTCTCCCTCTGCTGTCCCTGAAGAATGGGCAGAGTAGATGAATTTGCCAGGAGAAGGTATTTCTGTGAAAACAGGGGTTTGCTTTCCAAGTGCAGGATAAGGTCAGTAGTTTCTTAGATTGTATTATTTTACTAAGAAGGTAGGAGCAAACAGGATGTGGGTAAGCAGTTGGTTGTTGCAAGGCAACAGCTAATTTCTCCTGAAATACTGCTAATCAGTGCTGAGTATTTAGCTAGTTTAGGATGTGGACAGTAGGTCTCCAAAAACTGCAGGTATTAAATTATGATTGAAGTTTTTTCCGTCAGATGTCCTGTCTTTAGATAGAAGGTAATTTGTTACTCAAGCTCGTGGCTAGGTGAATATCCTGAGCCATGAGCAATACATAATAATCTGCATGGGCCACTGGAAGATAATTGCATTAGTTAATGAATACTAGGGTTAATTAATTACCAATTAATTACCGTAGGTTATAGATAGTTAGTTGCCCATAGCAGCAGTGAATCAGTTACTGAGGGGAAAGGGATATGTTACAAAATGAATTGTTAGTTACAGTGGCTATAGGAAGTTGGCATTTACTTTCTGAAGAGGAGAGGCCTTAAGAGCAGGAAAGCCATAGCTGTAATTGTGAAAGCTCTCACAGTACCACTGCGCTGTTCAAACACTTGCTCACTGTTGCTGAAGTCTGCAAGTTGACTTACCAGGTACCATTCCTGCAAGAGTTGAGGTTGGGTAGCTGCCTTGTCCAGTTGGGGGCACGTGGGGTGGGTAGCCAGGCAAGGTGGTGCTTGCCATATCACGACCTGGAAAGGAAAAGAATCAGGAGACATGATCAATAGGGATAAGATCATTCAATATTGTTTTGATATCGTCTTATGTCCCACCATGAAGTAACTAGCAGCTTGATAGGCAAGTGCTGTGTGACGTGCTCGTATGTCTGCTGACCTTCCAATGAAAATTTTGGCAAGAAGACTGTGACACTTTTGATCTCAAGCTGTAAGGATGGGTGTTAAAGCTTGTCTTCTTGAGGCTCAAAAGAACTGGGTTTATTTCGCTGTAGGTATTTGAGCCTGTTAGAAATTCTGGATATGTTTCTGCTACATCGGTATGGCCCAAGCTGCGTAGAGAATGGCAGCATGTTCATCGCCAGAGTAGCTGAGGTCTTACATGCAGTGGATGCAGTTCCAAAACCACGGGTGATGTCTCAGCACACAGTCAATGTGGAAACCACTGCAAAATGACTCAGGAGTTCTCTGTGCCCCTCTCTGTTCCCACCTCTGCCATTTCACCTGCTGATTATTTTAGCCAAGTCACTTCACTGCTGTGTGCTTCTTTTTCATGCTGCAAACTCTTTGGGGCAAGGACACACTCATTACTTTTGCACAGTGCCTAATACAAGAGACATCTAATACCGATTGGAATCCTTCCAGTACATATAATAATAGAGTTGAGGAGCTTACTTTGATTTCCACTTCATTTTTATCATAGGTACAAGTTTTGTTAATAATTCCCAAAACCTTGGTATCTTTTTTCCACCAAAAAAATAGAGAGGGGAGTGAACTGGGTGGATGATTACAGTTTATTTTTCATCTCTTAGGAAGTGCAGCTGGAGGCTTCTTGGTTGATGCCAGAGGCATTTCCTCATTTGGATTGGTTAGTCTGAAAATGGGCCAGCCAGAAGGGCATTTTGCTGTTAGCGCTTATTGCATTTAAATGAACTAAAATCATCTCAGAAGCTGCTGGGAGTTTCAAGCCAAAAACAAAAAAAAAAATAAAAAAGGCTAAATAAATTAAGATAATCTTTCCCCCACAGCTGCTGAGAGATTTACAGCTCAACCTCCAGTGCTGCCTACTGAGATCTCAGCCTGCTCCAATCATCCAAAGCCTTTCACATTCCCTAGGTGAGTTGTAGCTCACCAAGAAGTTTGTGCCGTTTCTTGTTCCTTTATTAAATTTTCTCTCTCCTGTCTGTTCTAACGGCAAGGGGACCGCAGTCTGATTCTCCTTTAGAAATGCCAGTTTAAGTAAGGCCCGTTAACACCACTGGAGCCACTGGAACTGTGCTGAGGTGTGTGAATGGAAGAAGAGTAAGAGTTGTTTTAGGTGTATGATAATTGATAAAGTAGGTGTTGGGACAACAAGGAAGCTTGGCAGAGGAATTAAGAACAATTAAAAGTTACACAGCAGAGCAACGATTGAATCAACGTGTAGAGTTAATGCTAACTCCCCAAAGAGGAAGTTTCTCTAGGAATGGGGGGGCTACGCCAGTGTCACTGCTCTCACAGATTTTGACTAAAGATTGCTGAAGTGATTTGTTCAATAAATAGAAAAGCAAGTTCCTTTTTGTACCTGAAGAGGTTCCTGACCCCCTCTTCTATTCTTTTATCACTTTTATCATTATCCTTGCTTTAGCAATTTGTAGTTAAACAGTAGGGCTAACACCTACTAGATATGTTTCTTTTTTATCTCATATGCTTTTGAGGAAACACAATTTTGTTTAAAAAGCTTGTCCCCTTGGTTTCCTAGGTTGTCTAGTCTGAGATATAACTGTAGGTGATGAGTGAGAAAACCGTGTTGTGAAAAGTTAGAGAGAACATTGTATAGTGGCAGGCAAAATTAATTCCTTTGGAGACTTCCATTCAATGGGAACACACACATGCTCTCCTACTTGATTTAAGCGTATAAACCCCTATGGTTTTGTTCAGATATGAGTGCGCAGAGGCTGATATTCAAAACTCAATATGGATAGTTCACTGGGAAGTGGTCATCTCTCAAACCCAGAATCAGGAGAAAGGAAATAACAAACCAGGAGAGTATCAACACAAATAAGAGTCCCAGAGAGAGAATCTCAAAATGCTGCTACATACAACCAGCCCCCTTCCCTTATGTCTGCTCACAGTAAACAGGTAAAGAGGATTATTGAATTCTGGTACTCCATGGCAAAATAGCATGTGTCCTGTTAACAGCGTTTATCCAATTCCAGCTACTCCTCCTACCTTCTCCAAGAGCCTTCAGAGTGATAAACACAGTGCCTTTCTCACTTTATCATAGTGCCTTATCCTTGTGTGAAAGACACACTTTCTCCTGTCTCTAATTCTTCAAAACATATTAAGGCAACTGCATCTCTTGAAACACAATGTCTTCTAGGTTAGAGGATGAGTATATGTGTCTGTATCCCTGTAGGACTGTACTATTGGAGAGACTCTGTCAGGGAATCCTTGTCTTGGAAAGTGCCAGTGCCCAGAGCATAGGGATTCTTGCTGGCTCCACTGAGGTTCTGGGCCAAGAGCACAAAAGTCTGCTGTTTGCTTGCTGCAAGTTTAGAGTTTCAAGTCTCACCCGACAAGACAAAGGGAGAATGTTGGATCAAAAGAGAAGAATAATGTAGGAACATGGAGGAGGAAGAGGCAAGGCTTGTTTCTTGTGCATCAGGAGCTGTAATCTGCGCTCTGAACAACTTGACTGTTGGAAAAGCCCCAGTAATGTTCTGTGACAGTGGGGTAAGAGCAGCCTCAATAGTCTCCAAGTCAAGGTCTAACAGGGAAACACTAAGATGTTTCTCCCTGTTTCATACCAGCCACCCTTCATGTGCTGCAACGTGATGCTTCAGTCACCTTCCACAAGAGTTTCCCCAGGACCTACC